TTTTTATTTTGTTTATGTTTTTTATAATGTGTCTTTTATTATTATTCTTACCTTAAACTAGGGATGGGCTGGATGTTCGAGTTGAACATGAAGTCCCATTAAGGAAGTCGGGTGTCAGGAGGCTGGGCAGCGAGTTATTACCCGCCCCTCGGCTTCCTGATTGGCCTTACCTGGAGGTGTGTACTGACTCGCCCCCCGGCTTCCTGAATGGCCGGGAAGCCAGCTGCATGCTCCCTCGTCACTTGGTGATGAGGGAGCATGGAGCCAGCTTCCCGGCCATTTAGGAAGCCGGGGGGTGAGTCATTACCCGCCCCAGGCTTCCTGATTGGCCGGGAAGCCAGCTCCATGCTCCCTGGTGACGAGGGAGCATGGAGCTGGCTTCCTGACCAAACAGGAAGCCGGGCAGGTGTGTAATCACTCACTGCCCAGCTTCCTGATATGGGAAGTTCCGGTAACAAGATAGGCATCTGGAGTATTTGGGCAAATACAAATACCCTGTATCGGCACCGATACTAGTATCGGTACATCCCAACTGTTTTTACCATGTCCTTGCACATGAGTGGGTATTCTTTGCAAATGGAATATTTACTTTGTTTCAGCTGATTTACTAAGATAAGTAGAAATTCACTTTAAAAAGTAAAAATGTTCTACTCCTTTAGTAAATCAACACTGTGTCTAAGCTACAGAGAGATCTGGGTAATCTAATCGTGACCATCACCAAAACATTTATTCCCATCGGAAAAGTTTTCCTTCTTTTGCTCTCCCGATGATGACAGTGGCCACCAGAACAAATAGAAGGATGAATCTCTGCAGGAGGGGACATATACTGAAATAAAAGTCTCTCCGACCCCTTTATAAAAACACTCTGCTGGCTTTGGAGTCTGGAAGAGTGATAGAATATACACTGAGTGGCCAGATTATTATGACCACCCCATCAGTACTTCGTTGGGCCACGAGATGACTCCACGAGATGCTGAAAGGTGATGTGAGGAATCTAACACAGCACTGTTGTCCTTCTGTTGTCTTGTACCAGTCTTGTCACTCTCCGTTCTGCCCTAACATTGACTAGTCGCTGACGGCCACAATTCGCACGTTCAGACCCAGATTTTCGGCTGACAGTCCAGTCTTTAAACACTTTAACAACAGCTGCTCTTGAACATTTAACAAATTCTGCTGTTTTGCTGATACTCGCTCCATGGCTCCGCGCCAACAATCATCCCACGTTCACAGGCTGTTAAATCGCGTTGTTTCCCCGTATCTTCAGAAAGAAATCACTTCTACTGTCGTGGTAAACAACCTGCTTCCTTGTTTACAATGGTCTGGCCCTCCAGCAACTTCAGCGCGAAATTATAGCTAATTTGCCTACAAACGTCAGGTGGTCATAATAATCTGGCCACTCAGTGTATACTATAGTTCAGCGACATGCCTTCTGTGCTGGGTGAGGCATCCCCCAGCCCACTGAAGCTCCGCCCCATCCTGCCAAAGCTCCACCCCAGCTCATTAACCAAGCTGTGGGGGGAGGAGAAAGGGAGGAGCCTCCCTGTCCCTCACTTGCTCATCACTGGTGAGGCATCAAGATCGATGTCCTCACTGGGTTTTTTCTGATTGGACAGCTTGGACCAAGGCGCTTTGCCATTGATCCAAGCCATCCACAGAGCTCACGCCTCTAACACAGAGTAGAGGCTGTGACAGCTCTTGCCTCACTATGTTAGGTTACACAAGCAGTGGGGAAGCCCGCTGCTGTGTAACCTAACTACCTGTCAAAAGCTGGATGCAGCTCCATCTGTAATTAAAGGAGAACTATGGGGTTAAGGCTTTTCCCCATAGTTCTCCTTAGGGTAACGGGAGGACACAAACTAGCGTCCTCCTGTTACCCTAAGCTCAGTATAGCGCGAGCTGCAGCTTGCGGTATACTGAGACGCCGCAGCTGAAGCGGATCCCGACAATTATGTCTGGATCCGGCCAGCTGCGTGACTGACAGCTGGCTCTGCCAATCTAGAGGCAGAGCCAGCTGTACCCGCCCTCTCCCCCGTCCGTTCCGCCAGTCAGCGCTGGCGGATCAGGGAGAATCCAGCCCCTCCCGTCACGGCAGAGAGCCGTGACAGGATCGAGAGGTGAGCGAACGCCGGTATGTGTTCGCTCACCTCCCGATCTACTGAGCCGACCTGTGACAGTCTCATTGTCACAGGTCGGCTAGAACTATGAGGTGAGTGAAAAGCACTCACCTCATAGTTCTCCTTTAACAGACAGCGCTCCGTCCATGACAGGTTACACAACTCGGAGGATTTCCCTGCTGTTTAACCTGTAAGAAGCCGCTCTGAATGGAGATAAAGCTGTCAGCTTTTTCCTGCATAATACTAAGTGAGGCTCTGCCTCCCCTGACCGCACATCCCTGCTGTAGTTCTGTGTATTAGTAGCACTGACAGTGACCCCTCTATGTTTAAATAAATTTGTTCTAGTAGTGTAAGGAAGATTTAGAACGACTGTCTAGATTTTATTGCTGTGTCCCCATGAGGAAGATTTCCCCTCACTTGGTGTCCAGGACACAAATCTCAGAATAGGAAGAGAAGAGAAACTTACTATGGAGTTACAGGCAAGATTTAGAATCTCCTGAACAGGAACAGAGCAGTGGAATTATTTCTGGAATCCAGGGACTGAGCTTGCAGTTCTGCAGTGGTTGTTACATAATGACTATGTAACAATGCTCATTTTAACATCTGCTGTACGTGACCTCTTCCAGCAGCAATATCAATCACATCACAGCGTTTTCCAAGTACACTCACATTCCTAACAATGTTATAAGATGAGAAAGAGAGATTCTTTGGTATGCTGATGCCTTAAAAATTCACTGGAACTAAGGCACCAAGCCCAACCCCTGAGAAACACCCCCACACCATAATCCCCACTCCACCAAACTTTACACTTGGCACAATGCAGTCAGGCATGTACCGTTCTCCTGGCAACCGCCAAACCCAGACACGCCCATCGGATTGCCAGACAGAGAAGCGTGATTCGTCACTCCAGAGAACACGTCTTCACTTCTCTAGAGTCCAGTGGCGGCGTGCTTTACACCACGGCATCCGACGCTTTGCATTGCTCTTGGTGATGTGCGGCTTGGTGCAGCTGCTCGGCCATGGAAACCCATTCCATGAAGCTCTCTGCGCACTGTTGTTGTGCCAGTCTGAAGGCCACACGAAGTTTGGAGGTCTGTAGGGACTCTGCAGACAGTTGGAAACTTCTGCGCACTGTGCGCTTCAGCATGTGCTGACCCCGATCTGTCATTTTACATGGCCCACCACTTCCTGGCTGAGTTGCTGTTGTTCCCAGTTGCTTCCACTTTGTTATAATGCCATTAACAGGTGACCGGGGAATATTTAGTAGCAAGGATTTGTAGGATTTAGTAGCAATGATTTGGAGGGGTGTGCCAATACTTTTGGCAATATAGTGTATATTACTCAATAGCCATAAAGGATATAAATCCACTTTTTGAGCACCAAATGCCCTCACAAACACAGTTACAAAATAATGTGCCCCCACTTTCATCCAGGACCCTCATGTCACCTTTTAACAGTGCACCCCACTGTCAGCTAGGACCATCATGTCACCTTATAAAACTGCACCCCAATGTCACCCAGGACCCTCATATCACTGAACTCCAATGTCACCAGGACCCTCGTGTCACCTATAACATTGAACCCCAATGTCACCCAGGATACTCATATCACCCAGCTTTCCCCACCCTGCAGCCTTACGTCACCCAGCAGCATCGACACTTCATCACTCTGCCATTCAGCACGTCCAAGTTAACCTATGATGCTGACAATGAGCCCCCACCATCCTGTTTCACCCTGTACCACTGACATTATACACTAGGGCTGCAACCAACTAATCGATAATAATCGATTATGAGAATAGTTGTCAACTATTCTCATTATTGATTAGTTGGTTGGATCCCCTAGATCTCTCCTCCATGCTGGGCACAGCAAACAGCGGGCGGGTGCAATAGCCAGCCTGCTATTGCAATTTCAAAAATGGTCAAAAGCAGGCTGGCTATTGCACCAGCCCGCTACCTGCTGTATTTACATTCACCTGCCGTCTGCAGAATCTTGCCATCGGCAGCCGTCACTCCCTGGCTGAAGCTATTCAAGCCCCATGTGCTTACAATACAATTATTTTAAAAACAAAAATTATAAAAGGTGGGGACAAAAAAGTACTTTTCGGCCTTATAAATTCTGCTGCGGGAGGTGCATTGCAGTGCCATTAATTTCAATGGCACCCCAAACGCACCTCCCACCCAGTGTGATCGCCTGCACTGGAACGCACAGTACTGCAATGCCGTGTGATTGCAAAAAAAGTGTGCATGCAGTTTTATTCTAAAGCTAATTTTAAGTTTGTAACACTCCATTTGTGTATTTCCTTTTAAATTGACGATGGTATTTATTTTATTTTTGTATCCCATTAATCTAAAAAATAATCGGCCATCTAATTATGAAAAATTATGAATAATCGGCCATCTGATTATGAAAATAATCATTAGTTGTACACCCGTCACTCATCTTCCCTTACCAAGCACAACCATGTCACCCCACCTGGCACCCCTATCTCTGAACCGCTCTGTCACTCATCTGCCCTCACCCCACAACGCTGACAGAGCACCCCCGTAATTCTGTTCCCTGTACAATCATGTCACCCATTAAGCCTCTTCTTCCCTCCCCAACCTAATTGTTAATAATGTTAGGAACATGCAGAATCCAGTACGGGCCAGCATACCCCTCCCACTTCCATCCTCCTACGCTGACGTCACTCCCAGGTCCCGCTATCTGCTCCCCCGGATGTGCCTCCCTTTATTTACATTCCCCCACGGACTCTTGGGCGGAAGCGCTGCAGTAAATCTTCTCCCTCGTGCGCCGGGAACTCTAATAATAGTTCCGGGGGGAGGTGACACGTGGCTACGGCGGAGGGGCGGGGAATTGGGCGTAGGAGGACGGGGATGGCAGGGACCGAGAGGACCACCGAGAGCGGTAAGGGGGGTTCTATGGTGTACTTGGTTGGTCTCTGCTGGGGAAGCTGGGCCCTGTGAGAGCCGGTGCAGGGAAGACTTTGCCCCCCTTCTCCCCAAGCTGCTGTGGGACTAATAGTCTCAGCGTGCCCTGCTGCCACTTGTACAGGAACTTCGGGTGAGCGCACTGCCATCCCAGAAACATGAAATAAGGACTGTCTGTGACTCCAGCTTGCAGCCTGTGAGTGTTTACAATAGTTTGTGTCATGACTTTATTTGCAGGTACTCTGCTGGTTCCGTGCACAGCCATGGCTGACTTCTCCATTGGGTGCATTGCAGGTCCCAGCTGTCCCGGGGACTACAATAAGGAGTACTGGGGTCATTGGGGGGGCAAGTAACCTTTGGGGCCCATTTAGATCTATGTGTGCGAGGATAGAAGTATAGTCCGGTGTGTTGCCATGCGTCAGTGTGCGTTTCCTTTATGCATTGCCATCTAACACTGACAACCACTAACCAAGGAGTGTTAATACTTGTTGCTAGGTCATCAGAACGCATGTTCTATGCATCTCCATAGACGTCTACGGGGCTCCTCACACATATTTGTCACAGCAAATTGCAGTGCTGAGATGCACATCACACTGCGATGAATAAAATTGCAGTGCTGAAATGCACATCACACTGCGATGAATAAAACCAAACGACTTGTCACTTTGTGACATTTCAATAAAGTTTGGAGAAAAATAAGTTACAGTGCCATGCATTGTTGCCGGAGCATTGATACCAACACAGCGCACACCGGCGGATGAAACTTTTTTCTTTTTCAGTTTTGTATATAGAGAAGAGAAAGGGGTAAAACCCCCATCAGGTTATGTTTTTGCTGTCTGGGAAGATTTCCTTAAACAGTTCCAACAGTGTTGGAAGCAGCTTAGATGGCGGACTGGCTGGATCCAGTGCTGGGGGATTTTTGGATTATTCATCGCATTGCTCCTCCCGGGTGCACTTTCCTCTCGCTTGTTTTAAGTGGATTTGAGCAGCTGACATTTTTTTGGGTTTGAACATTTCATGTGATGTTCCGGTCAGTGCAATGTGAAGCCAAGCGCAGCGACTGAGGCAGTAGGTGTAGTCAGCTCCATGCACCCTTTCAGGTCTGGCATCGGGTTGGTACACGTCACCATCGGTTCCATTTAAAGCAGGAGAATGGCTATTGAAATTCATATACAGGAAGCTTCTGAGGTCGGCCCTTCCCTGCCGGGGTCGTGAGGTCGGCCCTTCCCTGCCGGGGTCGTGAGGTCGGCCCTTCCCTGCCGGGGTCGTGAGGTCGGCCCTTCCCTGCCGGGTTGCCGAGGTCGGCCCTTCCCTGCCGGGTTGCCGAGGTCGGCCCTTCCCTGCCGGGTTGCCGAGGTCGGCCCTTCCCTGCCGGGTTGCCGAGGTCGGCCCTTCCCTGCCTCAGCCTGTGATCTGATAGTAAAGGAGCAGCATCAGACTGATGAGGTCATCTCTCTGCTCACTGTGCTCTTTCCTCCTGTCAGCATGTTCCTTTGTCAGCTAGTGTGCACACTGCATACCTGATTGCCAGCTAGTGCTGCCCCTCCCTATAGCAGTTGAGTAGTACCGTACAGGGGGAGTACAAAAGGCCAATACAAAGTCAAATTCAATGATTTACTTTAGTTGCAATGTAATATAAATGTAAACCTGTTTATGTAACTGCATTCATTGAAGTTTTTTTATATCTTCCTGGATTCCAGCTTTAGCTCTCCAGCAGTTCTTGGAGGTTTCCAGGGCATTATAGGTCAGAGAGTCCCGCAGGAGGTAAAGTGGAGGTTAACCACCCCCGGTGTAGGGATAAGATCAGAATGGTGAGTGAGGTTATGGGGAAAGCGGTGAGAGGTGTTTTCAGGTAGAGCGCTGTCGGTGGGCAGGAAGTGGTGAGGAAAGGATGTGGGTGAAGAACGAGGCTTGAAGAGGGAATGTGGCGAGTAGTTCAATTAGAGAGAACGCGTATAAACCCGCAGGCTTGGCATGGGGCCGTGCACTACCTATAACAGCCAATCAGAATACACCTGTGCTTGATGCTACTTCTGCAAAGTGAATTCTGATTGGTTGCTTGGGTGCTGCGCTTGGCAAATGGGATAAGCTGTGCTTAGAATTTTGTTCAAGCGTTCGTACGAAATTCTGAAAATTGTTGCTCGGAGCATTCCATGACGCCATGATCCAGGCCAATCATTTGGTTCCAAAGCTGCTTAAAATTTGCTGCTTGAATGCAAACCCAAATGTATGAAACGGGTTTCTTTTATTGTTAGGAAATCAAGGAAAGAATCATGCAAAACAAAGTTTTTGTAACTGTATAAGTATATAACATATTTATAGAAGTACCCCGGGATTTTCAAAAGGTAACCCTCGCACTGCGGCTACCCTCACACTCCAAGGTTTAACTGCTCTTTTTGGTCTAGGGAACAGACTATAGAAGATATACTCACCCGATCCTCCGGCTGTGGTATGTCCCTAGTGTCCTCACATCTAATAAACCTGCTAGACATGATGATGATCTTTAGACCGTCGGAGCCCAAGGGGCATGCTGGGGGGACCGGTCTAGCAGCCATGCGAGACCGAGGATCATTTGAGTACATTTTGTTCGCGCCCCCATTAAAATAAGCACTTAACCCTTGCAGCGTGGGAGTAGCCCCCCTGAAAGGGTTAACTTTTGAAAATTCTGGTGTTCCTCCATTTAAATACATGATGTTTATCAGCCCATGAATGGAGATATAGATATATGAGAGGTGCTCGAAATTACATTTTCAAAACTGAAATGAAACCACAATTTATTTTTTCTAACCTTTTCAGATTTTTAAAAATATTTTATTTTTAAATTTTTTATATTTTGTTTATTTTTAAAAATATTTTAATTTTTTTTAACTTTACTGTTGGGGGCTTCAGGGAAATATTGGGGGTCTAAACAGACTCCTGATATTTCCCTTTTTAAAATAGAAAAAGAGATTGAGGACACAGAGTCCTCAGTCTCTTTTTCTGCAGCCCCTGTTATCAGTGAACAGGAATCCTCTATACTGAGTGTTCCTGATCATTGATAACATGAGGACACAGTATGTTTACTATATCTACAATCATGAATGAACAGGAGGGGATGTAGATCACTTCCCATTCATTCATAATTGAGGATATAGTACACATACCATGTCCTCAATTATGTACAAACACTCAGCTATCACTGATCCCTGACTCCTTGGACAGTGAAGGAAGGAAGGAGAGCTCGATCTCCTCTTACAGCTGACTCCTCCCCCACACTGCCGGCCCGGCCTCCTGTTACAGCTGTCTCCGCCCCCACACCACCGCTCTCCTGATTTGTCAAAGGAGGCTGGGCTAGGCGCTGCGGGAGGAGAGCCAATCTGAGAGCCAGCATCCCGACCAATGAGGAAACCAGGCAGCGTGTCATTACAATGTTCGTGACCACAAAATGTCTAAGTACGGATGAAACTTGGCACGGCACATGTACATTACAATAAATGATTTTTCCTGACTAAGGGCCACATTAACAGTTAGAATTTCACTTGTTCGTAAAAAAAACAAAATATGAAAAACTCCATCTTGGGCCTTTGTTTTGCCGCGTCACTTTGGCCCCCAATAGCTAATAGAAAATCAAATGAATGTTCTGAAAATAAGTGTTAAAGTGCACGGTCTGCTGCAGTTCTGGCAAAAATTGTTCCGGTAGAAAAGCAAGGATAAAAAATATATAACGTTTCTCAATGCAAAACAATGCAATAACCAGTGCAATAATGTATGGGGTGCAGTGTTGGCCAGAACTACAGAGAGAATATTTGGGGGTGCTTTTTAGAGATAATTGCAAAATGAGCAAAAAATGTGACCTGGCAGTAGAAAATGTGAATAGAAATCTGTGATAGCAATAAAGTTAAGTGGGGGGAAAAAATTAAAAGTTTCCCCCCCAAAAAAATTTTAAGTTGCACATAAAAACATTTTTTTTTTTTTTACAGTCCCCACCCCTACATGCACGCATGTAAACATGCGTCAGGTGCGCTTACCTGCAAAAACGACGATTGCGCCCATTACGCCGCACATGTTTCATATTGCCGCGAACGTCGCAGTGAGAGCAATAATTTTAGGGCTATCAATCACTGATGACACTAAACTGATGAGCGGTAAAAGCCTTTAAAGCGTCGCCTATGGCCAATTTTGGGTATGCTAGTTTTTTGCGAGTGCGCGCAATTTTTAAGCTTGACATGTTTGGTGTCTATTTACCCGACGTGACCCGATCTTTTATATTTTACAAAAAAAGTGAGTAATATTAGTTGTTTTATAACATAATGTAAAAAAACTACTTAAAAAAAAAAAATTTCAGTAATTTCTCCTAAATATAGTAAAAAATAAAAACCCCCGTGGTGATTAAATACCAACAAAAGAAAGCTCTATCTGTCCACAAAAAATGGTATAAAATTCATTTCAGTACAGCGTTGCGTGACGGAATAAATGTCAGTCAAAGTACCGCAGCGCTGAATACTGAAAAATGGCCTGGATGGGAAGGGGGGTGTAAACACCTGGTCTTCAAGCGGTTAAGCAGAGAATACAGCAGGGTGACAATGCTTTTTCATAGCCTGGTAGGAAGTGACAGAAGGTTGTATTGGTATAACTTTCTTAGCTGTGCAGCGTGGCAGGGAAATATAAAACACAAGACTGTCTGAACGGAAGGGAAAGCGCTTGATGTAATTTCAGCTGTACGTATAGCGGTTTGCCTGAAGTTCAGCTTTGAAGGTCTGACCTAGCCTGCCTGTGGAGTTAGTCATTGCTGCCAGTCACAAAGGCGTTAGGTGTGTTAGAGCCAGCCGTATAAAGAATGTTCTCCGGCAACGTTACCCATTTTAAGTACCACGTACGTGTTACATAAGGATAATTAGGCAGAAAAAAGCTTCCCCCTGGAGGCTCGTTAATATGAGATTTCTAGAGCGGGATTAGTAAAGGTGTATCCATAGAGGAGGGTTCTGTTTCCTGACTTGTCTGGCTCTATTTGTCAAAGGCTGCAGGATCTCCCCTTCCCCGAGGCTAAGTGTTCACATTCATCCTCATCGAACCTTTGCACCATTTTGCCCTGTGGTCCTCTGCTCTGGAAGTTTGTTAGCTTTTGCCGGATTGTGAATATTCTCCCTGAATCTTTCCTGCTGTCACCGCTCAGCAATTCAATGAGTCTTGTGTAGAGCTGCACCGGGTAAGAGGGAGCGACTGACGCACAGGCTTGTCTTCTACATTTTCAGCAGGGTTTGCTTTCTAAACAAATGTCTCTTTAAACTTCTGATGAAAGCTACGTTTTTATGTGTTGAGTCAGTCCACTCATAGCTGGTATTCCTGTCTCTAGTAAACACTGGTAGGTCCATTGACCCGCTGGCTTCTTTTCATTTCTCGGGATTCCTGCGGTCAGGTATTTGAGTTCCCAGGTCCTAACATGCTCCGCAGCCATTAAGAAGGGGAGGGGGGTTCCTGCACTAGATTTTTCATTCGCTTTACTTCAAAGATTGCAAAAACCTGTGAAGCCAGGTCAGCAAGGTACCTGGAAATCTACAGCTGGCACTTCTTTTGTGTATTTTTCTTCCTTTCATTTAATTGTCAGTTGTTCTCTGGCCTGCTGGTTTGCACCGAGTACCGTGTTCTGTATTCAATTATCCAATGCAAGTTTTATGCTAGGAAAATTCGGCGCTGTGGTGAACTACAAGTCCCGGGAGGCATTGCAAGACTGACATCCACAGGCATGACTCTTAGAGGGTATGATGGGATTTTTAGTTCCACCACAGTTGGAGTGCTGAGGTCACCTACTCATTATATGCTATGGTGAAAATGAAAGCTACACTAAGGATCTCTATACTGGATCCCCCAAAGAGATAGGAGCAGGAAGAGAGGGATTCATCTTGTCGGAATGTTCCAAATGCTGGTTTATCATTTCTGTTGGACCAGATATGGATATGACAGCTGCTGTTACTGACTTGTTTCTTAACGGTGCAGGCTCTGGGGTTGTCATCGCATTACCTAGTAAGATCTTGAGCCTGAACACACACAGAGGCTGACTTATAACTTCCACCCAGCATATAGCTGGGCGAATGCCGTTTGCATGGCGCTACATCCACTAGAGGGCATTGAGGAGCATAGGAAATCCCTATACTCCTCAGCACTGCCTAGTAGTGTTATGTGAATGGCATCTGCTCTGCTGTATACTGGGCGGAAGTGTTATAAGTCAGCCCCATAGAGTCAATAAAGTTTGAAAGTCTGTAGTTATATCCTGTGTGGTTTTTGTTTCCCCAAGGATTCTCTGAAGTTGGGATCAGGTGGCAGCCCTGACCCTAAAAAATGATATCCAGTGCCTTCATAGCCATTCATCTGTGTCCCTTATAATGCCAGCATTGGACAGAACGTTCCGCAAAATGCTTTTTAAAATCTCCTTAGGTGCAATTTCCTTTATGCGAGTGGCCACATTCACTCTGCATGGTTCCACTGTGGAACAGGGAACGCAGCCCTATGCTGGTCACTCCTGACATGGACTACAATTAAACATGCCAGCGCTGACACATAAAATCCAAAAACAATGCCCGATGTCATTAAAGCAATCGTTACTCCCATTCATAATCTCACCATTCACACTGCAATTAATAAAGTGGCCCATGTGCAGAGGATACCTGGCGCAATGCATAATGAGGATTGTAGTTTTAGTACAGCGACACATGTGACGGCAATACACATGCACTGCTTATATTCCTCTGCTGGAAATAGATGCAATGCAGGTGCAGAGGGGCGTATGAGGAGGAGATACAGATCAATAGACAAAAAGGTATGCCAGATTTAGACCATACACGGTTGAGAACGTTAGGCAGCCCCAGGGTATAGTTTTAGCAGGGAGGGATCATTTATAAGTGACAGCATAGATGTGCAAATCAGTCGCCTGTAATGACAGGAAGTCTCCAAATCTGCTTCATGTAAACTCTCTTTGGACAAGGTTTGGTACACACTCTGTCTAAGTGATCCAAACCTTTTGTTTAGTGAAGACATCTTCCAGCAAGCTGGAAAATTTCTATAGCTAAGAAGCACTCAGAATTCTAGGTCATGCTCCTTCTCTATTTTATTTTTTTATCCGATTAACCGATTAATCGAACTTAATAATCGGCTAACTAATCGATTTTGAAAATAATCGTTAGCTGCAGCTCTACTTCTCACTCTCTTATTAAAGTACAAGTAGTGATAGAATTATGTAGGCTGCCATTACTGACCTCTCTTTTTAAGAATGCTAGATCCCCGGTCTGTCATGCTGAATCGCTGACCCGGAACAAGTATTAAAAAAAATACTTTTATTTACAGTCTGCTTATTCTGGATTTGGAACTCAAAACTCATGACAGGTGCACTTTAGCATCAGAGAGATAATTTATTCCAAATGAGTCCTGCTGAAATTTGCCAGTGTATAGTCGCCTATAAATGTACTTCTCTACCAATCGGAGGATAGAACTACATCTTCCTTCTTTTATTATTATTGCTATTACTATTTTTTAATTGTTTTATTACAATTTTTTTATTAATATTATTACTATTTATTATTATCATCATCATTATTATTATTTTTTACTAACTAGCCTTTTTCGGCTTTGCTTCCTTGATACAGGATGATGTGGGGCAGGATCGCGGCGTGGCTGTGCTTTTTGTGTCTGAGCTTCCAGCTCAGCTCTGCTTGTCCCCCAGGAAGTCGTGCTTGTGACAATGCCAATGTCTCCTCTGTGGATGCCTGGATCTGCTCTCTGATTGGCTCTCTGCTAGTGGGGCTGAGCGGAGTCTTCCCCCTTTTAGTGATTCCCATTGAAGCCGGTACAACTTTGAGATCTGAAGGTAAGCTCAGTTTGTATATATGCCTTGGAATGCCGCTTGGCTGGTAAATCTAGTAGGTTCAATGACTTTGGGGGGCAAAATGACATCAGATGTAAGCAAGTGGCAACAGATTCATGTGCCATTTCATCCCACTTACATTTTTGGACATTCTTATCTTGCCTAAGCTCAACGGCGGTCACAAGTCTACTTTAGTTTGGAACGTGCTTATTTAACATGTAGACCTCTTGTGCGAACATCGCGCACGATCAAGCTGCAGGAGGATCAGAATATGGGGAAAAAATGTTAGGGGCAGGGGGCATACCAGAAGGTTGACAGTTTTAGGCCTGGCTCCAGCATTTGATATGCGTCTGTCCAGCATCTAAACGATTTAATGTCCCAGTATGCCCTTTGAGACTGCAGGCCATCTGTGGTCCTCCAGATGCCGGGGATCTATGATTACCAGCAGGACCTGCCAAACAACAAGCCTAAATCAGCTTTCCAGCTGTTGAGTTATTACATACCCCAGCACGCATAACCCATGAGGTAGCCAAATTTTTATGCTCACAACCTCATATAATGGTACCCAGAGTCAACAGACCAGAGTTCTCAAACTTTAGTTACAATCACCTTTGTGCCATTGATGGTGTCCAAGTGCCTCATGCATTGGCGCAATTTAAATAAACTGGCAGCAATGCAGAATTTCTGCACTTTTCTGAACATGTGGCTCACCTTTCAGATTTTGAGCAGCAAAACTTGTCTATATTCTTATAGGTCCCACCAGGCGGTAGATTGGTGTTTGATTCTTACAACTGATGCAGCTGTTTAGGGTTCTAAAGTTGCTTGTTCACACCATTGCTTAGGGCTTGTTCACACCATTTTCTGGTCCAGATCTGCAGACGTGGTGCTATGCGTGCAGTGCGTTTTGAAGTGTTTTTACCGCATTCCAGTTTAAAAAAAAAAAAAAAAAAATTTTTTTGGAGTGGTGCTGTCAGTATGTTAGCTACAGTGCGGTGCGTTTTTGTTGCGTTTTTGACGTGTCCGTGCATTTCCGGTCCGTTTCCGGAGAAAATGTGATATGCAGTATTCTTTCTGTCCGGACCGGCTCGGACTGTGCTGGAGAGAACTGTAGCCCATAAAACACATAGGGAGACATTGGGATGCATTTTGGGTGCAGGAGCGCACGGTTCTGGTCCGGACAGAATCCGGACATCGTGTGAACAAGCCCTTAGTCAACCACTTGACAGTGACTGGTAGTTTTTAGATATTTGAGTAGAAGTCCTGTTTAAATTGGACACAATTTTCTTCCTAGGCCCTTGCCATTTCGTCATGCATTTTCTTGCAGTTAAAGGGTATCTAAGGTCAAAAACTAAAATAAATATTAGGGATGCGCCGATATATCGGCCGCCGAAACATATCGGCCGAAAATGGCACTTTTGGCTAAATGCTGAAAGTGCCATTTTCCTGCCGATACTCCGGCGCATCCCTGCTTTCTTTCCTCCCCGCTGGGCGCTGCTATGTGTCCCAGCGGGGAAGAGAGAAAGTGTGACAGCCGGCCGAGCGCTGCGGAACAAGAGCGCTGTGAGCGGCCGGCGTCTCCCACACCGCTCAGCCTCCTATCAAAGTCCAGCAGAGCGGTGTGTGGGCGGAGATAGCCCGCACTGTCACAGGAGGCTGAGGTCTCCTCACTGCACCGCTCGCTCAGCCTCCTGTGACAGCGTGTCAGAGAGAAGAGCGGGTACAAGCAGTCAGTGATCAGTGAGTGTTTGTAGATAATTGAGGACATGGTATGTGTACTATATCCTCAATTATGAATGAATGGGAGTGATCTACATCACCCCCCCGTTCATTCATAGTTATAGTAAACACACCATGTTCTCAAGTTATGAATAAACAGGAACACTCAGTATAGAGGATACGATACAGAAAAAGAGATTGAGGACTTTGTTTCCTCAATCTCTTTTTCTATTTTAAAAGGGAAATATCAGGAGTCTGTTTAGTAACTGTAAAGTAAAAAATAAAAATATTTAATAAAAATGAATTAATAAATAAATATAAAAATGTTTTAAGTTTTTATAAAAATAAATAAAATATTCAAATTTGAAAAAAAAATTAAATAAAAAAACAGTTTCGGTTTCAGCCGGACAATTTTTTTTATTTCGGTTTCGTTTCAGTTTTAACATTTCCATTTCGGTGCACCTCTAGTAAATATGTATCTTTTTTTATATTGAATTTCCATATTTCAACTTCATTATTGAAGATGCCCATAGGATGTACTTCCTCAATACACACCATTTCACTTTGCCCTGTGAATATGCACTTCCTTGTGCCAAAACTCTCCCAGAGCCTGCCGTGTGAGCTACCATTCAATGTCTGAACAATGTAATATCCTCATTGCTTGTTGGAAGGAGATGCATGATGAGGTGTATACTCTTGAGAAATAGAGATTGCATTACATCGAGCAGCAGGTAAAGAAATGCAAAGCACGCTGGGAATCCAGGAAGTTGGTGAAAGTGATGGGCAGACGGAAGGCAGCACTCGTTACATAAAAGGGGTTTTTCAAGTAAGCTTGGATTGTATTATCAAAAACAACTCTAGTGTGTATTTCTATTACAATGCCGATGTTATAACGTGAGAGTATATATGCTGGGACTTTACAACTCCTTTAAATACAACAACCACAACAGAGGTCTATACAGCAGACCAAAATAAGGGACATCTGATGAGAAAGGGACTTGGTTCCCAGATGAGGGAAAACTGAGGTGGACAGAGGGACTTGGTTCCCAGATGAGAGACAACTGAGGAGGAGAGAGAGACTTGGTTCCCAAATGCCCTACAACGTGCCCGCCGTCATGTTAATATAATTCTGGGATGGTCATGAACTGTCAAATGCAGAATGTTCTTGGTCCAGTAATGGGTGTTTTTACATAGTTTGTTTCTTTTGCAGAGGGTTCCAAAAAGCTCAAGAAGCTGTTGAGTTTTGCTATTGGTGGTTTATTGGGCGACGTGTTCGTGCACCTTCTGCCGGAGGCTTGGGCGTACACCTGCAGCGCTACCACAGGTACGGTTTATCATGACTATAGTATATTCAGTAAACACAAAGCAGACGTACAGGTATGTCGTTTTTGGAATAACCACTCCACCTACTGTCCATTTATGAACAGTGGCCGGTAGGGAAGTGGTTAAAGTTGAATTCCCAAGCAGATGGGGGGGAAAAAACTAACATAATTTAATTTGGTTATGCGTTTATTGATTCTGTAATGATCTTTGCCTCCTGTATGTCCATGCAGCTCAGCACTCAAATTGTATCCATGGAAGGAGCCATGGTTGCCACCCAGGCTGGTTTATTATTTACATGGCTAAACTTAGCATCTACCCTCCTCGACGCGTTTCGTCATGTGACTTCCTCAGAAGGGGGGTCTTGTCAGTCTAAGGCCCCATTCACACCAGGAAAGTAGCTCATGTAGCAGATTTTGCTACAGGTGGACCGCATATTTTTTCCCGTGCGTTTTCCTGGCTGCGTTTGGTGTGCCATTAAAAGTAAAGGCACCGGACGCGTGATGCATGTTTTTGATGCGTTCCAGGTGAAAGCACGCGTTAATGCAACATGAAACGGGGACCAAGGACCTGTGTTGACAGGCTTTGGGCTGTATCTATGGAGGGAGCCATGGTTGCCACCCAGGCTGGTTTGGTATGCAAAGTGTTGTCAGTCTAAGGACCTGTGTTGACAGGCTTTGGGCTTGTGTTGATGGCAACAGTTTGAGATGCTTTGAAGATCATTCAGAATTCACTGAGAGGTGCAGTTACGTTCTCCTGACCTGCATTTGACTTGCAGCTTTATTGAGCAACGAAGCAGAGTATGCTAAAGGTAAATGATATCAATAGAACGCCGGCACTCCAATTACAGATATGATGCGTCTTTTTATTCACGTAAATGCAACATATCACACAAGTGCAGCGTTTTGGGGACACACAGTATCCCCTTCCTCAGGGAAGAGGTGTCATCACATGCCATCCGTTAACCACCACTGCACCCACCTGCTCATTCTTGGATTAAGCGGTCAGGAGTGCGATGGTTGTATGGACAATGCTAAATGTAAGGCTCAAATAGGATGATAATATGTATGATTTCTATAAATTTCACCTTTTTAAGGGTCTGTCCCCACAAAAGTGTTATTTTATTCACACATGGAACCTAGTGGTCCGAGTCACCCCCTAGCTTCTGAAACCTTGAATATGTCAACAGTTAGGTCTACCTGCTTTAATTTTCGCACTGTGCATCTGCTAGTTTTGGAATGCTCCTGTCCACCTTTGTACGTTTCAACTTCTGTTATATCGTATGTAAGGTGGAAGAGGTGGAAGAGGTGGGGGCACCTCATAATGGGCACAGCAAGTGTGGAGACCTGGAACTTAGCACAGTGATCTCCCTGAGAGGTATCGGAAACTTTTGGGTGGTTTGTCTCTCCAGCAGCCACCCAAATCTGAAATATCTCTTTGGGGCGGGCTGACCTTTTAAGCCAATCATATTTCTATAAATGCAAAAAACTTTTACTAGACTACAGTTTTTCCTTTAGAACTTGACGTTAAAATAAATAAGAGTACACTGCTATTTCAAGAATACAGGAGAGGCTTGTATGTACACGTCTGTGCTTGACATGTTTCAGCTGGAAGAGGCAAGTATGTTGAAATGTGTGCACGTGCAGTACATGACTGTCAGCAGATTTGTGGACCTGGCTGTACCAGACAGTGCTCTTTATATACCGGTAACTTCAAATACTTCAGCCTTCTGACTAGTTCCCAACGTAGTGTTATGTTGCAGCCTCCCTAGTTCAGGCCATAGAATGTCTCTTTCCATTGTTGTGTGTTGTGACATAGCAGAGATAACGACACCCAATATAGATTATGTGATATATGTTCTAGCATACCCAAAATCTCAGAATGGGATCACCTCACCCGCTTCCTACCTTGCTGCTGCTTCCCCAAACCATGCTTAGAGCCATTTATATACTTGCAGGCTTCCTCTGGTAGATACGGAGTAAGGTAGAATGGGCCATAGGCAAGGTATCGGCTTTGGTCCCCCATTGACATCGATAAGGAATCAATAGTCATAGCCGCCTATTAAAGCTGCCATATTTGCATTGCTTGAATTGGCAAGGCCTCATCAGACATCAACTGCCTACAAGTACATCCTCCTTGTAGCGTGACAGTCGGGTGCACCGCTTTGACCATTGCACTATGCCCCTGGTTTACTGCAGAAGCTGGGCCCCTGGACATGCACCAGATCCGAGGATACTCCCTGGGTTGCATTGTTCATCTGGCTTTGCCCTCTGGATACTAGCAGCCTGTTCTCTGATGCTTCCATCTCATAGCTAGGGACATATGGTAGGCAATAAGTTCTTCTGCCTCACACAGAACCCACCCCTGACTTAAGCTGACCATTCAGCCCGCAGGCTGAATTAGAGAAAATCACTTGCTGCCATTTAGTTCTGTCAGAGCTCCCATTATGTACAGGCCATCCATCCAGTAATTGTACAGATAAGATTGGTTATGTGAACCAATTCCTTAGTGACTTCTGATAGTTGCATGTGCTGAGAATCTTGGATTTGTTCAATTACCCGTACAATATAATACAGGCTTGTACAGAACCACATCTGTACGAGTGGACTAGGAAATCAACTTTAAAAAGAAAAAGCTGCACTCCTGTAGCCCATCGAAATTCAGGTTTGTATATCGGTCACAATCACTTCCCCATCTTCTCTATGGCTGCCGCTAACACGTTTCACCCATTGGGCATAGTCTCATAGATCTCTCCATAGTGTCATAGTAATACCGATGGGTGAAACGTGTCATTAAAACCCTTTATACATTCGGTAGACTACAGGAGTGCAGCCTTTTCTTTTAAAGTTAATGTGAAGCAGGAGCAGAGTCAGGCTCGGTGCCGGCACCCTCAGTACTTCCAGTGGGTGGAACCAGGATGTGAATCAGAGCGCTGATGTTTGCTTCTTTCAGAGGTTTGAACTAGAAAATGTTCAATTCCATATTTTGTTGTAATTTTAGATTGTAAGCTCTGACGAGCTGGGCCCTCGTAGCCCTCTTGTATTGAATTGTATTTGAACTGTAAGGTCTCCATTACTTTGTAACGTGCTGCACAGACTGCTGGCGCTAAATAAATCCTGTATAATAATAATAATGTTACTTTTTTCAAAACTGGATTTTTAGTGTTGAGTTGACCCAGAAAGTATCACCACATATAAAGTGTTTTTGTGTTCTGCAGGAAAGTCCCAGTCTCTCCAGCAGCAAAGGCTCCTCGGCCTTTGGGTTATTATTGGGTTTCTTGCCTTCCTTTTACTGGAGAAAACCTTTTCCAATGACAAAAATGAAGAAAAAGAGAAGAGCGCCTCTCCAGTAAGTGATTTCTGAATAATGGTTCACTGTCACTTTGGTCTGGATGTGTCTCCCCGTTTTCCTGGTATCTCTCCAGTTCTCCCCCTCTGCTCTTTTGTTCTTTGCAGCTGGTAGAGAATACCTAGTGACTCTAAGTTTGGGGGCGCTCGTGACCTTCCATTTATGCAGCACATCTTTAGGTCCACGCACTGTAACATGTCAGAGGGGTGATCTCGCCTCTCTTTTTTAGGCGCTGGCACTGGGTGTCTTGGTGGTGCCTGCATCTAAAGAATAGGTAGGAGACTGCTTAAGAAGATGAGTATAAGTGGGTTGGGGGGGTCCTTACACAAGACACAGGGGAGGAATTTACTAAATCTGGAGACGACAGAATCGGGTGCAGCTGTACATGGTAACCAGTCAGCGGGTGCAGCTGTACATGGTAACCAGTCAGCGTCCCTCTTTAACGTCTTCAGTTAAGCTTTTAAAATGAAAGTTAGAAGCTGATTGATGACTATGCACAGCTGCTCCAGATTCTGTCTTCTCCAGTTTGAGTGCATTCCCCTTGGTAAGTTTATCCTGAATGCACAAAAAAATGAATTCTGTGAAGCCATCTCCTAAATGTGTCTCCAGGTTTGGGAAACAGTCCCATAGAACCTTATGGAAAGCTACTGCTCAGGCAAGGCCAGTGCACAGAAGATCTGACAGCTGGGATGTAAACACAGAACTGAACTGTGGGAAGAATTGCATGGTTAGTATGCATTTGTGGCTGTGCCTAACTAGAGTTTCTGCATGAGCACATTGCTCACAGAGTCCCACATGTCACGATTAGAACTGTGACTGGCATCTGAACAGAGCTTGGAGCAGCTGAGGGAGAAGGAAAGGGGATAAATAGCATGTCACTTGAGTGGCAGCTCAGTCTGCCGGGGCTGCTCACATCAAATCCAAGATGGCAGCACCCAGCAAGAGTTTTGGGGCCTCTGGATGTCAACACAAGGTAAATAACATGAAATATGTTAAATGCACATATAATACTATAGGAAGATTGTTATTGAAATTAACTAGTCACATGGTCTCTTTAATTCCAACATTTTGATTCTTGACAGCTTTTATTGACACTGAGGAATATTGGCCACGATAAGAGATTGAGAGATTGATTTGGGGGGCTCTACATGTAAATGTGCCTTTTGTTTAGTAGGAAACTTACTTTTCAATTTCTTTTTTCAGAAAGTGGCTTCAGGCAACTTAACGAACGGAAAACACGATGTGCGCAAGAAGGATGCGGCCAAAGAACAAAGCTCTGTGGGCAGCAATATTAAGGTCATTTTTGTTTTTACTACACTTTTTGAATTAATCAAAAATCCACCGACACCAACCCTTCCTCTGCCAGGAGACTAAAGCCGGGGCAGTGATTTAAAATGCAAGGGGGTCCGTTGAATACAATTTTCGAGCTGAGGTCTGAATCACGGTCCAGACAAAGCGGTCACTCAGTTTAGGTTGAATTCACCCCAGCAGCTGCACTGCAATGGACGGCTGCTGGTGTGTGTTCACAGGCACTGTGCTGATTGTGACACATCACACTGTTTATTTCCCCCTGTTTAAATACATGTGCATGCCTTGCAAGCATAGTGTTCATTAGAATCAGATGGTGGGGCGGCAGGGTTGATATTATTTTTTTTTCTTTCCATATTTTTATTTTTTTATAACTTTTTTACAGCAGAGGAGGGGGCACGATAGTAGCTAATACAAGTGACAGCCACCCAGATCATTTGTAGTTGTAGCAGCCAGCCCTGTCTGACGTCATTGGTTGCTAGGAAGCCTGCAGTCCTAGCAGCCAATGACTGAAACAGAGGGGGAGCTTGTGCTGGGTTATGCCTGGCAGTGGAAACATCAGCCTTGGAGGCTGGTGTATCCACTGTCAACCAACCATAATCCAGGGCAGGTTGGAGATGGTGGTCCAGAGAGAACCACCGCTCCGCCCATGTCCAGACAGTGGTCCACCAATTAGTGACCCCTGAGTTAAAGGATGCAACAATATAACTGCAACAGAAAGTTAACTTTAGTATAATCCTTTTACAGGCTTATGCATGGATGCTGTGATTATATAATCTGTTGTGTAGTTTATGTTCGGTAGATCTTTTATACACTTTATTAATTTGACTTCTTGTTCATCACAGGTCTGCGGGTATCTCAACCTCTTGGCCAACACTGTTGACAATTTCACACACGGTATGGCGGTGGCAGGCAGTTTTCTGGTCAGTAGAAAGGTAAGTGTTGATTTTATGGACTGCATAAAAGTTTCAATGTATAAAAGAACTAGCAACAGAACATGTCCACATTTAAAAGACTCCAGCTTGGGATAACTGATATTGTGTATTTTTGCTGATATATAACTGATCTTTGTCCTTTTGCTCTATGCTGATGGTTGCAATATGCATAGTTGCATAGTAGGTGAGGTTGAATGAATAAAGACACAGGTCCATCAGGATCAACCTATATTGTATGTGTGTGTATGATTGATAGATAGATAGATAGATAGATAGATAGATAGATAGATAGATAGATATATCTATCTCTGTGGAAGTGAATTCCACATATTTAGCCACTGTCAAAGTAAAATATCCCTTACGCAGTTTACGGTTATACCTCCTCCCCTTCCAATTTCTTGTTGTGCCCTCGCATTTTCCTTGCGGTACTTAGTTTAAGTAGTGTGTTCCCAATACCGCAGTCCCCACTGATGAGTTTATAAACTGCGATCATGTCACCTCTTAAGCACTATCTCTAAGGAGAACAATCCTAATTATTGTTGGCATTCTTGCTAACTCGGACCCTCCATCCCCCTTATTAGTTTGGTTGCCCTTCTGTGAACCTTTTCTAGTTTATGGATATCCCTCCTGAGGATTGGTGATCAGAGTTGCACCACGTACTCAGGATGGGGCCTTATCAGTATTTTGTAAAGGGGCAAAATTATATTTCTATCCCGTGGATAAATCCCTCTTTTGATGCAAGATAATATACTACTAGCTTTATTAGCTGCAGCTGGGCACTGCTTGCTATTACTGAGTCTATGGTCTATAAGGACCCCAAGATCCTTTTCCATCTTCGTTGTCTCCATTGAAACCCTGTCTAAGGTGTATTCAGCATGCATGTTCTTAACTCCCAAGTGCATGACATTTATCTAGCTTAAAGGTCATCTGCCTTATAGCTGCCACTCTCCAATTTGTATCTTGCTGCAAGCATTCTGTGTCATGTTGCGATCCTTATTTCCTTGCACAACTTTAATGGCATAGTGCATAGCAGGGCTAGGCAAACTCCGGCCCTCCAGCTGTGGTGAATCTACAAATCCCATCATGCATATGCCTCTGAGAGTCATGCCTATGTCTGTGAGATTCTTACAATGCCTAATAGGATTTGTAGTTGCACCACCGAGCTGGAGTTCGCCTACCCCTGCTGTATAGAAAGGCATCTCCCTTCCAATCAATACCTCCTCTGAAATATATCTGTTGCAAACTGCTTTTTTGACTGTAGGTTTAAATTCTGCCTACCTGCCATCCACAGTCCAATCAGTGTCTCTGTGGCTAGATAGTGAGCCCTCATTGGAGAAGGAGAGGATGGACGGGTGTTGACTAGATTGACGGTGCGACCATTGGGTAGCATTACATTCCTTTAGCCAATTAGTTTCAGGGGGAACAGTCAGCTAACTGGCTGAATCTTTGCAACCATTGCTACTGTGTTCCCCTGGAACCAGGTTGGTATGATGGGTTCCGAACTGCTCTTGCCTCCCTCCCCGTTAACAAAATTGACTTGCAACACAAGCATGCATGTTCATGCTAATTGTTTTTTAAGAAAGGTTTTTTCAGTAGTAGGATTCATCCTGTGTGACCAACTAGCATTAAAGACGTTTAAATACATTAGGTTGATTTGTAAGTTAGTTTCTGACCACTGAAACTAACTTACCGCGTTTCTAACTGCCCTGATTATTACATTTTACATTGTTTTACTTTGCAGGTTGGAATACTCACAACAGCAGCCATCTTGCTGCATGAGATTCCCCATGAGGTTAGTACCATTTCTGACCATTTGTTTTCGAGGAATGCTTAAAGTGAATCTATGGCCACTGGGAGAAAATAAAAATCATCCTGTGAAAGAAGTAGTTTATACTTGTGTGTCTTGCAGGTGGAGAGTTAAGTCTTTGCTCTCTTCTAGAGCTGCGGGCACCATTGCTATCCGCCACTTTTGGGTGTGTTTTCATAGCAAGACCCTCCCAACATCACTACAGGACACATACGGCGCTGAAAACAGGTGTTTTGGATGGAGCAGTGAAGTGTTAGAAACCCTGTCACAGTTGTATCATTGTCTTTGTTAGGAGGACAAAACTTTTTTGCAGTTGTCGCTGGAACGAGACATGGGGGGGCAAAGCTTTCAATGGGGAAACCTGTTGCAGTAACCACTGTCACCTCCCTTTTTGGAGAGCTCTCTTCTCATTTAATTTAGGTTCCTGGACAGGAAGCCTTAACTCTCTCCCCCCCCCC